TTTTTCAATCATTTTGAGTTAGATTCAAGACAAATAATAATGTTGTACAGACTAATGTAATTAGAAGTACTTTACTTCAAACTAAATAAATTTGGTTCAACATTTACTGATTGATAGTAGAATAGCCAAGTAGCCAGTGCTTGACTTACTAGGTTTATATCAGTGGAATCAGCTAATTAGCATAAAAAGAAGACAATGGTCTGCATGACACATAATGACTTTGCTAGTCCATTTAACTTTTAAATTAAAAAAAATAGTTGAACTATTTTATTTGGTGTCAGGTGAATCAAAAAATAAAATGTCAATTGGTTAATCAAATTTTTCATTTTGAAAACATTAGTTGTACAGATCTACCATTTTTTTGCCTGCATAAATTTTCTGAAGTGTTCAAAGGAGGCTGATGAGGGCACAGTTGCAATGAGCAACTATCTATAAAGTATGGACACTGGATAAACTTGGGTACAGATTAATGGGGGAAGAACAAAGTAGTAACATTTCTTCCTAATTTGGAAAGAACTTTTTGAGGTGTAGCACATGACCAAAGGTTGGCACATAAGGAAGATTGTTTAATTCTAGGAGATATAAAAATAAGTGAAAAGATGGTACCATGGTAGGGATGAAACCTGGAGAAGGAAAAGAAGTTAGCATAAGACTGTATGTTAAATGAGAAATACCAATACAACCAAAAATCAACTTCAATCAACCCAGCAGGCTGTATTTTCATTTTCTCTTAATCAGTGATCCCCTCTCCAGTACAAATCAAAAGAAATCAGGAAAAGAAAAAAAGGAGAAAGAATGGAAAGGRAAAATGGAGAAGAAAAGAGGGAAGACAGAAAAGAGGAAAAGAACGAAGGGAAGAAAAGTAATGAAGTAGTGTGTGCTCTTAAAAATAAATTATTTGCTCTAAAAGGATTGTTAACAACAAAATGTAAAAACACATATATTTGAATTTGCTCCCTCTGGTGTATGTTTTAATGGAAAATAAAGAGTTTAAACCTTTCCTCTATGTCCACAGTATAAGCATAATCAGCAATAATCCACTGAAGGAAGATTCTGAATTCTTTATTTTGCCTAAATTTCCATAAAATTCCACTAAAATGTATATGTAAAAGATATCATTTTAAAGTAGTACCACTTGAAGGATAGTTTAGCTTTACAACAGGAAGGCTCAAAGTCCAAAGATTAGATTCAAAATATTTTTCATAAAAAGTCAACTGTGTTCACATTGTTTTAAAATTTTTAATTCACTACAGAATGGTTTCCAATAAGCATCTGTATCATGTTTACAAGGAAGCACCCACTGTCTTTGTTCAAAGCAATGATGAGGGGAAGGAAGGGGATAAAATATTACACTGAAGGAAGGGGATAAAATATTACACTTATTACACTGTAAAAAGCAAAACAGATTTCTCCCCTCTCCACCAACACAGACACAAGCTCATCTTTATCCTGTAGGGACAAACATGAACCAGAGGAGACTTTGCTCTCCTTATTCATCTTTCCCTACCCCACCCACCCACCCACCCACCCAAACTTGCCTGCAGATTTGGGCCCTTTATGCACTTCATGTTAATTTGTAGCTTTTCAACTGCTTTTGGTGCCTGAAATCAATTCCTGGGACTAAAAATTCTTTGAGAAAATTTAAAAAAATCATTTCTCATAATTTTCCCTAAGTGAAAAATAAAGGGCAAATTTGTACCAAGAAAGTTTGAGCACTGAAACCACAACACAGTAAGTCTAATGTTCAAATGACAAATGAAACAGAATGGTAAAGAGGAGGGAAAAAATTTTAGTGAAATGATACAAATATTTTTGTTACATGAAAAAATCTAGATGTAGTAGATCATGGCAAAGACAACAGTAAAGATGTAGAACTGAAAAAAAAACAAAAAGAGCTAACACATCTGAGATAATCACATATGACTGCAAGAGTTTATTAGCATCTTTAACATCTATATAAATGCAAGAGCTGGATCTGTTATCTTTAGGTTTATGCATTTACTAATTAGTGATTTACCTAAATTGACTACTTTTAGCATTTGGGAGTATAGTATTGATCTGGGCAGTGTCATCTTCTACTGTAACTGTTATTTTAGATTCTTTATTGTAATCTGTCAAGAGGATATTAAGCACTGRAAATAATTCAACAGAGTTACAAACTTGAATTCTAAAATCCCCAAGTTGGTCATCTCACATGGACATTGACACATCTTTCAGAGACAAACTTACCTTCATGTACACACCCAAGAGAATGTAATAACTACTTAACTTCATATGCCAACAGTACAAGTGTGTTTGTCAAAAGCACAACAGTCCAGTCTGTTATCTAATAGCTAGTAAAATTCAACATAAAACAAGCAATATACCAATAAGCATTTTTCTTCTTTCTRACATTCTGAAAATTTGCAAATTGGTTTAAACCAAAAGGGGTAAAGGAATGAAATTATTCCTTCAGGCTTAGAGGATTCTGTGCCAAGTTTCATTTCTGGCTGCATATTTCTGACCAAGTTCAAGATCCCTGAAGAGAAACACATAAAAGAGAAACTATCCCTCTAACCTCAGCAGAGCAACATCAGTGCAGGCAGCTGTGGGAAGAGAAAAGCTTCTGCCCCAGATGGGTGTGCTTCTGGGATTTGGTTTCCACTGAGAGGATGCCTGCTCCCTCAGTGAGGCTGCAGGACCTCCTCTGGTGAGGTAATGGCTCTGCCAGTTTCACTGGGTCATGCTCTCTCAGCACATTCTTTCTCCCTCTCCTCCCTGAGAAGGTGCTGTAAACAAGTCATCCTGAGAAAGAGTTGTCACAGAGAGTGAACAAATCCTGGCTCTGCTTCTGGTAGTCTAGACATAAGTAGAAGCCTAAAGCAGCACAGGCACAGCCAGGAAGAAACAAGGGGTGGGTGGTTCAGACAAGAGAGAAACAAAGAAAATAAGGAATGCCTTTGAAATATTATTTTTTAAATGGAAGTACAATTTTTACATTGCTTATATGTTCTGGTGTATGTTAAGCAATTTCCCACTGATGCAAGTAAATAACAACAACAATTTTTAAAAAAAAACTTTGGAAATTAAATGACATAAAAACTGTGAAATATAAAAAAAATTAAATGACAGATAAGCAGCATATACCACAGATCATAGAACCACAAGAGCTCTGATAATATCCAAATCAGACAAGCAGATATAAACCTGTGAAAATCAGATAAAATCACTAGAAATTAATTGTCAACTCACACTCACACACAAATAACAGTACTGAAAGAAAAAGAATGCTTTTTACCTTTTCTTGAAGGGGAGATGCTTTGTGTGCATGGAGGAAAGTGATTGAAACACGCATAATTTACAAATTCAAAAGGATTTCTACCAAAACCCACTTTGCTCAGCTAAAGGAGTGTTTTTGTCACATTCAGGTGGAAGGCTGTAATCTTCCTCTTGGGCATAAAATCAAAAGCATTCTAAAGAGTTTCTATTTATTCAATCTATTTTGACTGCCAAAAAAAATCATAATTGCTCACATTAAAATGACAGGGTGACAGAGCTATGCTTTTAAACTGGGCTGGTACCTGCAGCTCATCAGAGGGACATTTTGCATAATGTGGCTCACATAAAAGGCTTTGTTCTCCATCGCCTCACTGTGGTTGCAAGCCTCAATTTCAGTTTGCAGTCCTTCCTCTAACACACCATCATTGAAAAGAAATATATATTTTTTTAACATTTAAGTTAGTTCTTTGCTAACATTACTTCACATCCCAAATTATATTATCACCCAACAATATTTTTTTTGTTTTGCATTACAAATTTCATTCATAAAATATCCCAAACCTTTTAAGATAAATTTAAAACTCTAAGTATTTACTCCCTTTTGGAACATGTTCACGGTGTGTTATATATGTGTGTTATATATGTGTGCTTACATATGTGTATGTACATTTAAACAAAAAGGTTTCACACTGACTCAGTTTTAAAGGGTCTGTGTTCTGGAAGCATATTATGCTAAGGTCTTACAACAGATGGTATATAGCAATTGTCACCAAGGAGCTTGTTTCTAACCAAAGCTTTTTATTTTCTGACAAAATCTTKAAGTCCTGGTGCTAGGACATCAATTTCCAGGTTTCAAGCACGGTGTTTTCTGACTCCATTCTCTTTACTACTCCCTCCCCCTCCCCACCCACCCAAACACACACCTCCCCTCTCCCTGGGCCCCTCAAACACTCTTTCTTGAAATTTCCATCCTAAACAAAAGGCAGGTTGGGGGAGGAAGGGAGTCAGCACAGTAGCCCCCACCCTACCCAAAGAAAGCCTTTAGAAATGAAGAAAAGAATAAATGGACAGTATATACTGTTTTCCACCCCCATCATTTAAAAAGAAGAGGAAAAAGGGGCTGTGGAAGCTAGATCTCAACCGGACTCATTTCTTCATGCCCCGCCCTCCAACGCGACCAGACATTGATTTTCATCTTCCTAAAATTATAAACATGTATCAGTCTTCCTTTCCCAGCTGTCTCTGGAGGAATTACAGGGATAAATGGTTGGAAATTGACAAGGCCTCCCTCCCTCCCTGTCAGTGTGCAGTTCTCTGCGCCTGGATGGAGAAAAAAAAAAAATCCTCTGCTTCCAGTTCCTTTTCCCCATTATCTTTGTCTAGTTCACGGCCCTTCTTTCTACAGCTCAGGTAACATTAGCTCTCAAAACACGCATCCTACCTGGCGCAAGTTTCCAGTCGTTGCAAAGTGGTACCTAACAAGGTCATTCGCTCTCCTACAAATCTAGAGCCCAGGTGCCAGCGCTCGCTCCGCTGCTGGGCACTGACACCTGGAGAGGTCCGGGCCCCAAGCTTCCGCCAGGGGGGAGACTGGACAGGTCGGTCACCCTCCCACTGCTCCCAAGTCACAGCGGACCAGATAACCTCGTTCTCTGGGTCCTGGCAGAGGTTCCCTCCTCGCCAAGACCGAGGCTGAAGGACGGGCGCTCTAATGGGACCAGAGGTGGGGACGGATCCCTTACCTGGGCGCAGTAACAGAACGGACCCGCGGTCGCGGCTGCCACTGCTCACGGACTTGGAGGGCTCTTGCCCTCGGGAGGAGTTGAGGGGGGGACGGGACAGGGGAAGAAGGGGGAAAGGAGGAGAAGGAAAAGAAAGAAGCGGAAGGGAAGAAAAAGGCAGAGAGGATGCTGCTGCTGCTGCTGCCGCTGCCGCCGAGAGCCCGCGCAGCCCGAGCGCCCGCCCAGTCTGAGCGCGGCGCCCCAGCAGCGGGCTCCCAGCGCGGCCGCCCCGCCCCGGCCCTGCCTCCCCGCCCCGCGCAGGTCCCGCCCGGTTCTGCGAGCCCGTAGGCGGCCGCCGCTGGGCTGGCGCTGCCACCGCCGCAGTGTCGGGGAGGGGGAGCGCGGTGGCCCCGCCTCCTGCCGCAGCCAGCCGGCCGCCCAGCGGGGACAACGGCGAGGCTGGGAGCTTTGGAGAGCCCCGCCCAGCCAAGGCCAAAGGAGGCCTTGGGGCTGCAGGGACAGGGCGTCCTCCCCGCAGGGCCTTTCTCTAGGCAACTGTGACCCTCCACCATGCAARGTGAGACCAACGCTCTAAGCAGAGGGGATTGCAGACCTTCCCTGGGAAATCGGGACACTAGCTTTAGGTTCTCGGGGAGAAGCCCGCCTTTGACTCGCCTCTTTTCCTTCCAAATATCCCTGTGAGGCAGGGGCTCCAGGGACCCCCTCAATGGAGAAAGCTCAGTGACCTGGTTTACTAATATAACGACAGGTGCATCAAGAAATGACAAAGGAAAATTGGGGGTGTGCGAAAACGTAGGCCAACTCTTGTCTGTACTAAAGAAGCAATGACTGAGGGTGTAGAGAATTCTAGACTCAGCTCTGCCATAATCAAATGCATTTGTTCAATTATCAATTCAACTGATGCTTAATAGAAACCTGCTAATGTGACAGATGCTGTTATGGGCACTGTGGAAACATCAGTGAAAAAAACAGACACTCACCCCAACCCCATCAATGAAAAGATCCTTGCCTCCATGAACACCCTGTTCTAGATATCCAGGTGTACCACCAGAGACAGTCCCCTTACCCTCTCAGTGTAATGTCAGCTGGGGACCAAAAATGTCAGTACTACCCTTCCAGCATCTATAAAAAGAAAACAAATAAGAAGGGTCTTTGATGAATGATTCAAATACAAGGAATTAGTAAACACAAAATTCTGACCTTGAAATGTCATCATTAAAAAAAATACTTCTTATATACTTTTGAAAGCCAAATGATCAACTGAAAAAAGAAAAAAAAAACCATAATTCTTTTACCATGAAATCTTTCTAACCAGAGATGTTAAGTAAGAGAAGATGCAACTTAGAATGACCTCAGATGTCTATACCAAGTACTCAGAAGGTATTTTTAAGGTCAGTCAAGATAGCAAGGTGTGACTTAAACAGTTGCAACAGTACTGATGAAACAGTAGTTATAATTTGGATTTCTCACATTTAATTACAGAATCAGAGAATATGAAATATTAGAGTTAATATTGTAGGCATTTGGTCCAATTTCTTTAATTTTACCCAAGAAACCCAATGATGGGAGACTGCAAAGAATAGAACCCATCACAAAGAGGATACAGAAATCTGGCCTCCAAAGTCACACCCCACATTCTGCTCTGCTCCCCCACTCAGCTGCATCTCACAGTCCAGTGAGGCTTGCAGCCAGGTTGGAAGTGTAAGGGCACACCCAGTAGCTGGGAGGTTGGAGGAGTCAGGGCTCTTCCCCAGGAGATGGCCTGATTGAAAAGGATGTTTTAGAGACAAGGAAACAATATACAGTAGGTGGGCAGGAGGAAGAAGTAGGAGTCTTGCCAGTGTTAGGGGACACTCATGACCTGCCCACATATGCAGGTGATGGTAAAAGAATCACTTGGGTCCTGTTTAGTCTGATTATTGAGGGTTTTGCATTTCCTCTGGGCTATTTGATACGGAGACCACATTCCAAAAGGAAAATGCTCCTGTTACCTTCCTTCTTTCAGAATTCCCCTGGGTCTGCATTGACCCTGAGCTTAATGTAAACAGAAGTAATTTCAGGCATTGAAAACAAACCTGCCCATCCACTCTTGGTCTGTAAACCAATTGTTTCCTCCACCTTGGAGGTTCACTGAGTCAACCACACATACAGCCTTTCTCTTTGGGCAGTCTCATCCTTACATGGGGATTGCTTCCTCTTGCCACCTTAGTCAGAGTTCTGTCAGAAAAGCAACACCCATGTGCAGTCATTTGAGAGAGGGAATGTAACATGGGGGACTAATTACACCAGATTAGAACAACCGAACTGTCAAATGAGGAAGGATGGGGTGACACAATTATAGTTACTAGATGGAACTGCTGCCATGCTCAGGGCTACAGAGTCCTAGAGGAGCTTTCATTAGAGGTGGGGAGCCTGAGCTGCAAGGGGACTGATATCACAGTGAGCATGCCCAGTAGAAGATGGGACAAGCAGGAGCACACAGCTACTGCTAGGGATTCCTCCAGAAGCAGAGASGGAGAAATACCTCTTTTTCTCTTTTTCTCCCACTTTTCAACATCCTGCCACTGGTTGAACCTGGACAGGTACTCCATTGACAAAGCAGCCTGGGAAATGTAGTTGGCAGGAATCATTGCCCTGGAATGTTGAATGACCTTACAAAGGCACTGCATGTGCTTGGGCTTCCAGTTTATTGAGGGAGTTTTCCTTTTGTGACTGAAGAAAATACACTTTTTCTTTGCAAAGCATCTTCTCCTTAGAGAAAGCCTTTCTTCATATTGGATTCCCAATGTAGCCATAGAATGCAAACATCTTGTCTCTTCCTGGCTAATTCTACAGTAAGACATGTTCTACAAGCACAGTGAATGTCCTTTGGTTATATGTCTCCAATACTTCCAAGTGGGTTTTCCCATGAAATGTGTCATATGGACAATAATAAATGAGATGCATATAGGCATACAGTTGTTAGTGACTATCTTCCCTACCATATGGAGACATGGCTGTGAGGTGGAGAAAAGTCTTTGAAAAATCCAGAAAGCAAGCCAGGAAGACCCTGACAACACTGTTTTCCACAATTACCTCTTTTGTCTCCAGGTTAAATTCTTAATTTGTGTTTCCTGACCCAGAAGGTTCTGTACATGAACAGCCATATTCTATCCTCAGGGACAGGCCTGATAGTATATCAGCCAAAAACCTATCAGGATTAAAGCATTTCTGCTGGTTAGGGAAAGGTCTATTGGTGGATAAGAAATATCAATCTTCTCCCAAAGTGTCAGATGATAGGTGAGGCTCAGATAGAGGAGGTTATGCTGCATAGTGTTAGAAGCCCCAGATTATAATCTAGAAACCAGGTCTTAGACCCTATATCTGTTGTTGTCTGTTTTRGTAACATTGGGTACCATCACTTGACTATTATCAGTGAATGAGGAGATTCAGCGACATGCATTTGCAGTCAATTTCAGTTGCATGCATAATTTTTTTTTTTAGAGAGAGAGAGAGAAAATTTTAATATTTATTTTTTAGTTTTGGGCAGACACAACATCTTTGTTTGTATGYGGTACTGAGGCTCAAACCCGGGCCGCACGCATGCTAGGCAAGTGCGCTACCGCTTGAGCCACATCCCCAGCCCACATGCATAAATTTTTTATGAGAATTTCCAGCTCCACTTATTTGCTGGTGAACATTAATTAAGTGGCCCTTGCAAGGTTCAGACACATATGCAAATAATGCTAACATAATGTGCAATTGTGATAGAAGAKATGTGGTTGGGAGAAGTAGGCACTACACTAAAAAGTAAATGTTCAATTATGAAGACTTCATAAAGACTTCTTATATTTTCTCATTGAGAAAAGGTTTTATTTTTTGTGTGTTTTGTTCTTAATTTTATAACCCTTTTCTGTATGAATAATCTAAGATAAATCAATCAAAATCCCAATCATCATTCAAAAGCTTTGATAGTTAAAATACTTTAAAAAATAAACAAAAAGATAAATTTGGGGTATAGTCTCCCAAGTTTCCAGTTGCAAGCCTATTTGATTGAACAGGTTGTACAATTACTGCTAACTTCATATGGACAATAATTTACCATTCTGTTTTTAGAAAATTTTAATTGAGGTATAATTCACATTCAATTAAAATCACAGATCAGAAATGTTCAATTACACTCCCAACCTCAGACATAGAGGCTACCATATTTTTAATTTTGTTTCTGTATAATTTATATGATCCATTCAAATTAATGGATATTATGTGATGTATAGGGAGTATATTTTTTTCTGTTTGGCTATCCATAATTATTTTCTTGCAAAACCATTCTTTTGTTATTAAGTTATCATACAATATTTGTCAAAAGTCAATTCACTAAATATGTTTGGGTCTATTTCTAGATTCTGTTGTGCCATTATCCTTATGACATACCAAATTATTTTGATTATTTTATAGCAAATCTTGAAATCAGGCACTGCATGTCCTACAAATTTTTTTCTTCATTTTCTTCATTTTTCAAAATTCTTTTGGCTCTTTTTGACTTTTAATTTCCATATAAATTTTGGTGTCACTTGTAAATTTGTATAAAAATGCTGTTTTAAAATTTGGACTTGTGAGACTAGGGAGCAGGAGGGCAGGCCTGGCCCAGATCTGCCCATACCAGCCTGAGTAGGACTCAGGCTCATAGTAGGCCCCAGTCCATCCTGCCACTGGCAGACACTTGCTGGGCCCCAGGCTCTGGCACAGGACTGCCCCTTTTTCAACCGCAGACTACCACCTGAGGTCAGGAACTGAACTGACCAGATCTGCCCTCACCAACTTGCTCGGGATCCAGGTCCAGGATGCACACTGCAAGAAAAGAAGACACATAGACAACATGAAAAAACAAGGGAGGAAATGTGCCCCCAAACAAATCAGGATACTACAATAACAGAACCCATGGACAGCAAATTGTTGAAATATCAGAGAAGGAATTCAGAAGGTTCATAACTMAAATGATCGGTGAATTAAAGAATGACCTAGATGAGCAAATACAGGCAAAAATTGATCATTCCAACAATGAGATAMGAGAGCAAATACAGGTAGTAAAAG